ATTATTTTATTAAATTATTTTCCAAAAAAATTTATTTATTTTATTAATTTATATACGTATTAAATTTTTTTATTAATATTATTAATTTACTTCAAATAAACATATATTATGAAATATATCTTATATGTAATTATCATTTAAACTTATGTCCTTTTTTGTAATTTCTACATGTAAAAAGCACTTCTGACAAAAACCTATCCAAACACTCTCTCACTTTTTCAGAATCACTTTTTCAGAAAACCTATTCTCTCAAAATCTATTCTCTCCAGAATCAATTCTCCAGAAGCTATTTTCCAAACCATGGTTTGGCTTCATCCAAACACCCCTAATACTAAACCTGATAATTGGAAAGATTTGGATGTCTTGAATTGGTGGAAAAACAAACAATTTCGATTTCCAATTTGCTAGTGAATTAGTTTTTAGCATTGGTTCATATGTTTTCACAAAGTATAGAAGTTCTATCCTTCCTGCTAATCTTCAGGCTCTTATTTTTGCTCACAATAGGTTGCATGGATTTGCATATCAAGGTAATTTATATGTATTTTTTTTATAGTTCTTTTTATGCTTTTAATTGCTCAAACTGACAAACATGATAAATATACTGCTTGTTTATGATTTTGGTTTATTATTTGTTGTAGAGAATGCTTGTTATACTGATGAAGAAGAAGAAACCATTGATATTTTTAGAAGTCAAGAAGACCCTATTACCAGCGAAGCACAGTAAAATGTCCTTGCAATTGATGACAGTGATGATGAAGTTTTAAAACATTGATGATAGTGTCTATCCACGTTTTTTTTTGTGAAATGTTTGTCTACTTTTGATGGAACTTTTGAATGTTATTGACTTGTTATAGATGTTTGAGATATTTTGGTATGTTGATGCCTTGATGGACATGAAGATTTGATGATGTATTGTATTTTAGACTTAATTTATTTATATTTATGCCTTTTGATGTTTATTTTTTTGATAAAATATATGAGAAATATAAAAAATTAATATTTTTTTTAAATAGACTAAAAGCCTGTGGGCCGACCTAAATCCGTCAATTTAAAGGCCGGGCTTGACAAATCAAGGTGTTTTTTTTTTTTTAAATTTCAGCCTTGTAAGGCTAGCCTTTTTAAGCTCGCTGGCCCAAATTCTCAGCTTTAGGGTTGGCTTACTAATTTTTAAAAATATATTAGTGTTTTTTAAAACACATAGTTAAAAATAAATTACTAAATAAGTTTTTTATTTATATTTTGATTTTTATAATAAATATAATTTTCTCTGGATTTTCTAAAACAATTTCTTTTATATTTCGTGCCGACACGCCTGCCAGCTGACTGCTGAGTAGGCAAAGGACGCCGTTGTCATCGTTCAGCGGTCCGCGCCGTAATCAATTAATTTATCAGTTAACGGCAAAATAAAATTGTCCAAATAAATGCCTCGCGCTGCCTGATCTATGGATAATTATATACAACTGCGTGAGAAATTGAGAGAGGAAGAAAGTGATAGAAACCGAAGGAAACGAAAAGAAAATTCCCTAATCAAGACAAACAACCTGCCTCCCCGTTCTTCGCTCTCCAGTCCCCTATCTCTGATTCTCTAGCTCCGTCCCTCCCTCCCTCCCTCCCTCCCTCTCCCACTTCTTTCTTTCTTTCTGTGTTTTGTCACCTTGAGCAAACCAGGTTACTCATTGATGTGGGATCTCTATCTCTCGACCACTTGCATTGTGTCTGAATGGCAGTTCTCGGCTTTCTTTGTATTTTTCTCTGTTGATGGATTTTGACTAGCATTATACCATATCCACTCCTAAGCTACACTTCAATCAGATCCTTCTGCAATTAGACCAGTACATCTCTCACTTCCTCTTTTAACTTTCATTATTTCTCTTTTCAAATGCTGCTTTCTCACTCTGGGTTTATCTTCCTTTTCTTTTTGGTTTTTTCAAGGTCTTGATCCACAATGACGCCGAAGAGAGGGCTATTCGTCAGCAGAAATAGAAGCAAGGGATCCCCTTTCCCTCTTCTGGTTTTCATTTTTCTTTGTCTTCTTGCGCCCTTGATTTTCTTTGCCAGAGTGCTTTTTACTGCGGGTTAGTTCTCGATTCTGTGATTCTTGAGTATTTTCTCTCTCCCACTCTAGGATATAATACAAACCAAACGTTGATTTGCAGACCTCCGGAAGAAAATGGTGGTTGCGTGATGTTTAATTAAGTGGATGTGATTGGTTTTTGGTTGATATTCACTTGTTCTTTCTTGTTTGGTAAGGATGTCTTTTCGTAGCTCTACGATACTTCCTCGTTTGACTGGTTAGGAAACGAATTCCAGGTTCAGTCTTTGATATTGCTGTCTTATCTGTGTGCATATTTAGATTTAGATATTTGTTACTCCCTATCAGTTCCATGGCGGCAATAAGATAAGGAAAGGGTTATTTGTTTGATAATTGCGGTCGCAAGATTTATGCTCAAGGGAGTGCGCTTCAGTTTTGCAACTTGTGGGAGTAGAAAGATTATTTAGTGCTAACCACGAGGCTTAGCATAGTTGCTTCAAGGGTTCGATCCAGGCGGTGTGTATGGAGAGGGTCTCTTGGCCAGTACTAAAGCCCCATTGGGAAGTCTACAGTGTAAAGGATTAGTCACTGCCACCAGCAGGTGGATACCTCAACCAAAAAAAAAAAAAAAAAAAAAAAAAAGGAAAAAAAAAAAAGAAGAGAAAAGAAAGATCATCTAGTGCTGCTGCAAATTATTGATTGTATGATATTGATAGTATGATGTCGCAGTTTTTATGGGTGCTTGTAGTTGATAGCGGTATGGTTAATATAGGTATTATGTTTCGAAGCTCAGAAAATTTCAACCACAATTGGATTACGTTTACGTTAGGAGAGTGGCCAACAAAAAATAGGAACATTTTAGGAGAACAGAACATCAAAGCTGCTGGGTCTGGTGGTCCTAAGAGAGCGCCTCAAAGAGGGCAAGGGTATACAGTTATTACATAACTGTTAGCATATTCTAGATATTGAAAGTGAGCAATAACTGTCTTACAGAAATTTATGGAGACTGTTACTTGTTTGCGCTTTTGTCAGATAAGCCACTGGGCTCAGTGAAATTAGCGAACAGAGGAAATGTAGTGTGGTTACAGTGTCAAAGGAGATATATTTGACATTATAATGCAGAAAACTCATTAAAGAAGGCAATGGCCTCAAGTTCTACATCACAAAATCTTGTTATGAGATGGTTGATAAGGTAATAGGGGAATGGCAAGTAATCTAGGTCGTTTAAATGTTGATATCATCTATGTTGAGGATGATAGTAATCTTCGAAATTTCTTGACAATTTTTGCCAATCTAATCTTTGATTTCTTCTTTTATTAGGTGTTGAGAATATTAGTCATAATCATTTGAATATTCTTTTGTCTTAGATGTTTCTCTTGCTTTGCCTATGCTTGTTCATTGCACATATTTTGGTGAAGGAGTTTTTCTTAGCATCTTTTTAACCATTGCATTTACTTACCAAGGCACTCATCTTTCATTAATAAAAGCAAAATTCCACAGGTTATGCACTGCATAAAAGCAGTATCTTTCTAGAATCAATTATTTTTTGGAGAAGTTAGATGATCCACAAATTTTTTAGACTATGAAGCATGGGTGAAATTTCAAGCTCTGCTTGGGCGGTCTACAAATTAGTTGAGTGCGCCTTGTGTTTGGCAAAACACATACAATGTATCTATCTAACCTCAGAGGCAGTGCACTTTCAGACCCTGGCCTCTTGAGTATTGTTAACATTGCGAATCCTTTCAGATAATCTCTTGCTCAGAATGCTGGTTCCATTTCTTAGCCTTAGCAAATTGTGTTACTCAGTGGTGAGGGAGGGCAGTGATCCTCAGAATGAGTAAATTTGAAAGGAGAATATGCCATTGTTGTCATAAATGAAATGATGAGTGGAGTTAAAATTTGATGGCTGATATTTTGTGTGTGGATGAGAGGAGGATGGACTAAGAGAAGCGTGAAGAAATTTCAAGAAAATGGCATCGACTTAAATGAGGAAAAGGAAAAGAAAGAGGGTGAATGAGATGAGTAAACAGGTATAAGTGACTCTAATATGATATTTAAAAGCAGTATTGAAAATGTTTACAAGCAACAGCTGTGGTGGCGATATCTTTTGGCGAAGTTTGTGGAAAGCAGATAGTGCAGGAATTGAAAAATAAGTTATTCTAATGGTATAAATTTTTTTTCTTAAAAAATTCATAGAAATCTTCATTGCTGAAGATAGTGATAATGCAGTGATGTTTATTTCCTATACTATTATTTTACTGGTTTTTTACATGCTGCAGAATGTATATGTCTCTCTCTGTTTTTTTTTTTTTTCCCCTTTAAAGGTTATTTAGCTGCACCACTACGTGTATTTAGAAAAGATAATTGATACAGTAGTTTTATCTTTATCTGTATGACTTGGTAGAGGTGGCTTGCTCAGGCATAGGTTATTGGAAAATAAACTGAGTGAGACCGGTTTTATGAAGAAAGAAGCCTTGGCTTTGGTTTGAACTTTGTCTTTCTCAAATAACAAGCTTGGGCATGTTAGGGATTGACTCAGCTTCGTTCAATCCTAAGTGCAACAAAGGGTTCTGATAGTGACATTGCAGTCTAAAAGGAAAGGAAGGAAAGGGCTGTTATCATGTCAATGAATTGAACAAATTCATAAAAATTGTCAATTATTTGAAAACTTGAGCACCTTTATTGTGGTTCAATCCTCATCTTACAGAGGAGCTGATAGAATACTGATTATTGTAGGATAATGGGTGAGTTGGGGGGTTATAGAAATGTTGGGAATAAATATTTCTTTAAATTATTTTGGATATTTTCTATTTTATTTAGGTTATTTTTCTGATTTCTTGAGTATTCCTCAAGTTTAAGAGTAGTGGGTTATGATACTTACGAATTAAGTCAATAATTTTATTTATTTTTAGGGCTGAGTTGTGGATTAATGGGGTAGTTTTAGGAACAATTTTAGGAGTCATTAGTTATTTTTCTCTCTATAAATTTTTAAGTATTACCTCATGTAGAAATCTTCTGGAAATAAAATTAGTATTTCTTTTATGAGTGGAGATTCTCCTTAGGCTTTATTAGTTATTCTTACCCATTCTAATGAAGATTTTCCTTCATCTTTACTAATTTGTGAAATTAGATTCTGATTTCATAATTTAATACGAGTTTTTCTTTCTTATTTTTCTCCACTGATTTTGGATCCTATTAGGAGCTTGTGCTATGTTAACAATTGAAGTGTCAGGGAATTGCGCTTGAACCATCAACCAAAGCACCATATGAAAGACCATGATGGTTGAGACCTGTAGAGAGGACCAGCTTGCATTAATCTTGAGCCAAAAAAGATAAAAATAAAAAGCTACATGTTATAATTGTAAAGAGCTTGGCAATATGGATTCGGGTTGTAACCTCTTTGTCAACTTGATTTTGTGTGAAAGACCTGCTTGATGTACAAGCTGTAACACTTTAGTTTACAACCATATATAGAGTCAAAACGTGTAAAATGAAATCACATTACATAGCATTAGGCTTAGAAAATCGAACTTTGAAAAATCACTTTCTTTGGTTACTATTCATTTGGTAACCCTAAAATTTTAGCTAGTTTTGAAAATTCATAACTAATTCTAAAAAAGTTGAAGTGAGGTGGTTCCAAGTTTTATTTGAAGTTCTTTCATTCTTTACATGAGAAAAATACTCGCTGGTCAATTATTTTCATCAATCAGGCTCCATTTTTCGTGTAAAAAGCACTGTTCATTTGGTTAATTTTTAATTTTCAGCTTTTTATGATAATTTCAAAAATTCATAACTTTTAACACATAACTTAAAGTTAGGTGATCCACCACTCCATTTGGAGCTTTGGATGTGTACTTTGAACTCACCAAATCTCATGGCCAGATTCCATTATTTGTTTAGAAAAGTCGCAGTCCCACAATCATGGTTTTTCAAGTCATTTGACCCTTTTTAATTCCATTAGTTTATGAAATTCAACCCATGATCTTCATATTTATCAACTACCATTCATGCTATAATGTACTTGAGCATAGTAGTATCTCCCAAAGGGTGGGAGCATCATCCTATACAAGCCTTCATCAAAATTTATACAAATTACATAACTCTTAAAGTCCATAATAACAAAATATAATCAAGCAAACTTATACATGACATTGCATGCAACTATCCTCATGCTTCCAAATTCTTTCCTTTATCCTTTGATGAGCCAGCTCCTAAGGTGTCAACTTGTTGTAAAGAAGGGTGAGATTTCAAAGAAATCATAATAGCAAAGAACAATAATTATAACGCTAACAATGTAGAGTTATATAATGCTATATGTGAATCAACATTTTCATGCATTCTCGTACGTTATCATACCATGGAAAGGGAGCATGTAAATCTACCATTGAGAAACTCAACTATACATATTGCCAAGTTATAAATGTTACAAGTCAAGCACATCATAACATAGCAAGCTCAACCTCATCATGGCATAAACATCTAGCAAAACAATTAATGCAAGTTAACACTAAAATTGTAAGTTCTTGCCACCAGGCTCAAGCCCTTGGTTTTTGCTCTCTTCTCTTTGTTCTTGAGTCTCCTCTTGCTCAAGATCAATGCCTATCAATCACACAATAAGGGCATTTTGAGTTTCATCTCAAACAACTTCATTAAAAAATTAATCTTAAACTTTAACCTTTTTTGCTTGATTTAAGGGTTTTTGTATAATCTTTCTTAACATAATTTTGATATGTTTTTCCCACATGTTTTTAATGTAAAATCTATATTTGAACTTAGATTCATCAAAATCCAACTCCTTTCCTAGGATTCAAGCTTGGCCAAGACATAGGGTTTTAGGATTCAAAAATTCCATTTTCAATTTAAATGCTTCCAAATATATTTTTCAATATATGCCTACACAATTTCATCTTCTAAGTTCATTGGAAGCATCAAATTAACATGAGTCAAACTCTAATGTTATGAACTCATGTTGGCCTAACCACACACTCCAGGGTTACAATTTGAAATTCTTCCATAAACTAAGTTACAGCGTGATTTTCCAATTATTTTCAATCCTTTGGTCCCTATGTCATCTTTTAATCATTCATAACAAGTTATATGACATTTTGGGTAGCATGGTATCATAGGGTCTTGAGCCATTTTTCTCCATCTAAATCAATTCCAAATCAACCACTAATCAAGGTAATTAAATTCTTAATGAAAGTCTTAACTTACCTTGGATGATTGCTTGAAGTTAGCTTAATTTCGTCCTTCCTCTTTCTCTTCCTTTTCTTCAAATCAAGAGCAAAACCTTCCATTCCTAATTTTCCAATTTGACAAATTTTGGCTTGGGTTTCCTATTTTGCCCCTGGTAAAATGTTACAATTCTAATGGCCACTTGTCCTATGATCAAGTCTTCCCCTCGACAATCATGCCACGTTATGCCACCTATTATCCATATGGTTATAAAACAATATTTTATTATAATTTAACCTCTTCTAATTATGCCCCTAAAGAAATGACACAATTCCATCCATGTCCTCTTCATAAATGGTGCCAAAAATGGTAGGAAAATGTGAGGAAAAGTTGTCCCACCAAGCTTTGGGTTATTCCATTGTATAATCTCATCATATCGGTTAAATTTTTCCTAGATCTTGTCTAATCCAGTAGCTTAAAAATTCATTTTTCTATGCCATTGATTTCCTTTTATTGAGAAGTTTCCCAATTTTTTTAAGTCAAAATTTGACCTATAAATTCTTCCACTCAAAATTTTCCCGAAATCGGTCTTCTACTGACATAATTCAGCTTTAAATATTTTTAAAGTTAATCTCTGCACTTTTAGAGGTCGGGGATATATTACAATCTATTATAAACTCTCAACTAAATTTCCCTCATTTTTGTTTGGATAATTGATGCCTTTGTATATTTAAAATAATTCATTTTGGCCATATACCCCTGATTATCCAAACATATTGATAATTACAGAAAATTCTCTAATAAATTATTTTCATCCTGTTTTCACCATTTGGGCTTCAAATATTGTTCTAGACATTTTTTCTATTTTTCATGAATTTCTAAGAATTTTAGGAATTTTAGGTATAGTTTACAATACTGCCCTTCCTTGACCTGCAGTTTTCAAAATGATAATTCGATCACTGTTCTGGTTTCATTTTAAAAGTTGTTTTGTCTCTATCCTTACTATATTGCCTGGCCCTTGGTTAGTTTTAAATTCCTTATTTACCATGTTAAAATTAACTGGATATGACGCAAGCTTTACTTGCTTTGTAACTCACAATAGCCATTGAGCTGTTGGTTCTCCAAAGACAGCCAATTGATGGAATTCATGGTTATAAGGGCTGCCTGGTCTTATATTGAATAGTGTGGAAAGCTCTAGGGACACTTAAGTGGATTGGTTCTAATTTGCTTGAGTGGCTCTCAATTGAAGTATCTAGGCTCTTTTTTGAGACAGATTTTGCTATATTTCATTGAGTTTATTTTTTATAATTGAGTAATTTGGAGCATGAAAGAAATACCATGATCATAGTTTAATATAATCGCTGGTAATTTGAAGATTTTTATGCATGGGTTTGTGACTTAATGAATTGCAAGCACTGCAATTGTGTACTAAGCGTATATTTATGTGGTGAATGATTGTAATGGTTTGTCGTTCTCTTTTCAATGAGTAAGAGTTTCAAAGCTTCTTTTTCCCTCGTTCTTTTGACAGGGGAGCTTTATAACAGTATCTTGATAGAACTATCTTATTAGTAAAATGGAAAGATTGAGGTCATACACGTACACATGCTCGCACCAATGTTTTAATCACTGGACCGAAAGTCAAACCGAAGAGACTAGTAGGTTATGGTTCAAACGGTTGGATGGGTCAGACCAGTGATGCAGTAATTAAAGAAAAAAAATTATGTACATATAATTAATGTGTATAAAATAAATTTATAATAAGTATGATAATTATTAATATAATGATATCTCAATAAAAAATTAAAATAAAATTGAAGATATGTTAAAAACTTATAAACTTTTGTTGACCTCTTTTCCTTCATTTTGTTATATATAACAGTAAGTTAATAACGTCTATTTTTATTTACAAAAAGTATAAATATTTGAATAAATTAATTTATAAATTTACAGTGTGATCCGTTAATCCATTGGAAAAAAAAGGCAAAATGAAAAAAGAGTTTTTTTTCCCTGCTTTATTCTTTATTTCTTTTCAATTTTTGAGATGCTTTAGTGCTTTTTGACTTTCCATGTATGTTTTTGGGGATTGTATTTATTTCTTAGTATTTCAAGACGCCTCTTCCTTTTAACCATTGGATTAGAACTATTGGGTAACATCCTGCAGCCATCCACATATTTTCAGTCAAAAATATTGTAAACTCCAACCATTCACTTCAGTTTCGGCGACCTCAAGATCCACCTTCGACTATTCTTTATGTCTTGCGCTTTTGGTGCAGATTTTTTTCATTTTGCTGGTATCTACTATTTTCAAGGATAAATCTGGGTTTGTGACTGAGGCTAACTAGATTTGAGTGAGTTATTTGTCATAATCTAAACTCTATTTTCTCATATAGCCTTCTAAATATTTTTATTTTTCCTTAACTCTTCATCTTCTTCACCTTCTTCCATATGATGATGGTGTAGCATTCCTTCTTCTTGAAAAATTGCCTCAGGTTTTGGTTTAACTCCGGCTCTCGGCTAAATGACCGGCTGGGAGCAGTCCAAAACGGCCTAATTGATTAAGCTGTCAAACCATGAAAAACGGGCGGAGAACTCTCTGGTCACCTGCTAGGCCGTTCCAACCATCCGGTCCAGTCCGGTCCAGTTTTTAAATCATTGGCTCACACACATTAATTGGCTTCTTAGGATCTCCCTTTCTGGCATAGTTTCTCAACTACTCACTACACAATCCTAATATGCTATAGGCTACAGTATTTTAAGACTTAATTTGTCAGTTTTTTTAACTCCATCTGTGTTTTTTGCTGGTGGTCTTGATGATGTTCTTTTGGGCATGATGTTTATGTTATGCTTATCTGTAGATGTGCTTCGTAATGTCATGCAGCTTTGTGAGTTCTCATTCCCTGTTGTCACTTCTTAGTGACTGTTGATATGTAAGAACTTGATTGGAGTTGAAAGTCCTTGACTGAGATTAGAGGTGCTGTTTGGTATGAAACATTGAAAATTAGGGGTAGGGATTGAGATTGAGAAAACTTATTAAAAGAGTGTTTAACATGAGAGATTGTTTGTTACATGGGATTAACCAAACCCATATATGTGGGATTGGGAAATACTATGGAGAGAGGTAGTATTATCTAATCCCATATCTATGGGTTTTTCTAATCCCATATACCAAATAATTTCTCGTACTAAATATCATTTGGGATTAACCACTATTTGGGGTTAGACAAGCCCATAGATGTGGGATTGGGAAATACCATGGAGAGAGGTAGTATTACCCAATCCCACATCTATGGGTTTGTCTAATGCTATATACCAAATAATTTCTTATACTAAATACTATTTTAATAATTTTTCTCAACTGCAATCGCAGTCCCTATCCTTTATTTTTAATGCTCCGTACCAAAAGGGACCATAGTTTTCTTGAAATACCTTAATGTTTCATCTTCTCAAGTTCTAACTACCTGAAAGACATAAGAAAAATCCTTATTAACTCCGGCTTGCTTTTCTTCCTATATGCATATGTTTATAAGATCAGGACTTGTTAAGTTTTTCTCCCCCCCATAATATAAATGCTTTGTGCAGGTCAAAATGGCATTTCAAATGTTCCGAGCAAACAGGTATCCTGGTTTATGCGTTCCCAGCGTTAGTGGTTGTATCTAATAGCCTCTTGATGGAGCCTCTATCTGTTTTCATTTGTAAATCTTAGAGAGTTGTTGAATGCTGCAGGCTTCCAAATGGAGAGAATGGCAGGCGTTGCATGACCTCAGATCACTTTTTTCAAAAGAGGTACTTACAGGCTGTTGTAGATTTACTTTTAAACCATAGCTTTTCATTTTTTTTGTGGTGGTTGTTGTTTACATCTTACTTTCTGGCATTTTAATCAATATTTCCTTTTAGGTTCTTGACATAATTGATGCCAGCACAAATGATACGGGGCCATTAAATCTTAATAACTATAGAAAAAAGCAATTTTTCTGCTTCCTGGAGAGTTGTTGAGTTGGAGAATTCAAATACGGCATTTCAGGTGAGAGGATTGATGTTCCCATAGTAGATATTTATTCTTAATGTTATACCTTCATTTCTGCAGAAATAAACTATTGTTATGTTGTTGCTAACCCCTTTTGATGTTCTCGTACTTTTTATTAAAAACTAAACCAGCCAACACTGCATAGTAGACAAGGAAACCTGAAGGTTGAACAGGGAACTGATAGCCCTGCACAGCAAGCACGAAGGGTGAGTGTCTATTTGATTATTTTTTGGGGTCAGTTCTTTTGGGAATTAGGAGCAGTACTGTGAACTTGAAAATGAATGTGATAATTTTTTTTTTTAATACTCTTTGCTAATCCCATGTACAGCAATTGATTGATAAAAGGCGTGGAAAGCGTGCTGCTGAGCTGGTTAAACAGGATAATGAAGTACTTGTAAAACTTGAAAATGCAGCTATTGAACGCTCTAACTCAGTTGATTCAGCAGTTCTGGGTAAATATAGCATTTGGAGGAAAGAAATGGATAATGAAAATTCTGACTCTACTGTACGGTTGATGCGGGACCAGATGATTATGGCTAAGGTGTACTTAAGCATTGCAAAGATGAAAAACAATCAGGAACTATATCGAAAATTGCAGTCTGAACTTAAAGATAGTCATCATGCTTTGGGCGAGGCAGCATCTGATGCTGACCTGCATCGCAGGTAGTGCACTATCTGGCTGTGTAATTTTCTATTAAGTTTATATCTTGTATCGGCATTTCCATGTCTTCTTTCACTGGTATATCTGACTAGTCTTGACTAATCGACAATTTTAAAACATTTCAAGCGTGCATGAAAAAATTAGGGCTATGGGCCAACTACTATCAAAAGCAAAAGGGCATTTGTATGACTGCAAGTTGATCACTGGAAAATTGAGGGCAATGCTAGTAACCGCTGATGAGCAAGTTAGGAGCTTGAAGAAACAGAGCACTTTCCTCAGTCAGTTGGCCGCCAAGACCATTCCTAATGGAATTCATTGCTTATCCTTGCAGCTTTCCATAGATTACTACCTCCTTCCTCCAGAAAAGAGAAATTTTCCTAAAAGCGAGAATTTGGAAAATCCAAATCTCTATCATTATGCTCTTTTCTCTGACAATGTGTTGGCTGCATCTGTTGTTGTTAACTCAACCATTAAGAATGCCAAGGTGACTCAGGCTGCTTTTTTCTGTATCGGCATGTGTGCATGTGTCTTTCATGTGTGTTTTCTTTACTTTCTAGATGCCCATTTTTATGTCTGGGCAGCAGGACCAAAAAATCATATTATCTAACTTTGCCTTCATTTTTTTATATTTGATATTGTAGGATCCTTCAAAGCACGTTTTCCACCTTGTTACTGATAGGCTGAACTACGCAGCCATGAACATGTGGTTTCTGTTAAACCCTCCTGGCAAAGCTACGATACATGTTGAAAATGTTGATCGATTTCAGTGGCTAAATTCATCCTACTGCCCTGTATTGCGGCAACTTGAATCTGCTAGCATGAAAGAGTATTATTTCAAGGCAGGCCATCCTAATACACTTTCTTCTAGTTCTTCTAATCTGAAGTATAGGAACCCAAAATACCTCTCCATGCTCAACCATCTAAGATTCTATCTCACTCAAGTGTATCCAAAATTGGATAAGATCCTTTTTCTTGACGATGACATTGTTGTTCAGAAGGATTTGACTGGGTTGTGGGATGTGGATCTTAATGGGAAAGTGAATGGTGCAGTTGAAACATGTGGTCAGAGCTTTCACCGATTTGACAAGTATCTGAACTTTACTAATCCGCATATTGCCAGAAATTTTGATCCAAATGCTTGCGGTTGGGCATATGGGATGAATATTTTTGATCTAAAGGAGTGGAAGAGAAAAGACATCACTGGCATTTATCACAAGTGGCAGAATATGGTGAGCAGTCCAATCTTACATGGTTTACAATTTACAGCATTCCATCTTCTCAGACAAGTTAACTTGAACAAATGACATGACTGGTCTTTCTCTGACCATCTCTTTTTGTTTTGTTTGTGTTTTTTGTTTTGTTTTGTTTTTTCTTTTTTCTTTTTGGTTTCTGTCCAGAATGAAGATAGGTCGCTTTGGAAGCTGGGGACTTTACCTCCTGGCCTAATAACATTTTATGGGCTGATACATCCCCTACATAAATCATGGCATGTACTTGGTTTGGGTTACAATCCAAGTGTAGATCGATCAGAGATTGAGAATGCTGCGGTCATTCACTATAATGGTAATATGAAGCCATGGTTAGAGATTGCCATGACCAAGTATCGCTCTTACTGGACCAAATATGTCAAGTACGATCATCCTTATCTGCAAAACTGCGAGGTGAGTGAATGACCCTGCTAAGAAGTCTACAGAAACTACTCTTTTAACAGCCCTAGGGTGGCTTATATCAATGTCAACTGAAAAAGCCCTGCCAGAATGATCAAGTGTCTTGGAAGGGACAGGATCTATCCCATCTTCTGTATTTGCACCAAATCATTTCTTTTCCACATCATTGATTTTTGTTTCCTATTCATTTGATTTGTTCAAACCTATCCCCGCTACATTTGAACTAGGTAAATAATTAGTATACCTTGTTGACTATAAAATCCTTGTCTTGTACAATACCCTGAAGCTAAGGACAGGAGTAGAAATCGAGTGTATTGTCTGCATTCTTTTAATATAGCTTGCTTGAATACCTGAATCTATTGCGGCGGGGCTAATTTTCTACACTTCCTTGCGTACCGGTTTTGCGGCTTGTCTGAGTGCTTTTTGGTGGCTGTTTTATATTGTTGAAATCTGAAGCAGGTGAAATTGGACCGGACGTAAAACCTACGTTTTCTAATAAGGTCCCAAAAATTGCGTTTCACTGAACTAGGCTTTAATAATATTTTAGCTATCAAGTCCAAAATTTGACGCAGGCGATGATAGCCATTTTTTTTGATAAAATGATCAAAATGATATTAAAATACTATGTAAGCGGTAAATATCAGACGCAAGAAGAACAACGATTAAGAAATTTAACAAGTTCTAGAGGAAAAATTTTAAGAAATACTATTCTAACATCTACAAAAGCCTTCAAGCCTTTAATAGCTGAGTCAGATTCTGCTTAAATTGATGAAGATGCATTTGTCTTTCAAGTGCCCAGGTATGAAGAGAAGCCATTGTAGGGGAGAATGGAGATGAATGAACGATCTAACAAATACCGACTCCCAAACATTTGAGGATAAAGGTAGAATCACCTTAGAACTTCTAAGTGAAGCATTGGATAGGTTGACCCTCAACATAACCAGAGATGACAAATAGATAACTGACCCATGTTTGAAACGATGAAGAGTAATGGTCCA